GACCTGAGTCAAAAATCAAGAGTCAAGACGCTCAATTGACTGAGCCACCCAGGCGCTCCTAATATTGATTGTTTTAATAAGACTTAGATATTGATGGTTAATAATACCTCCATATCAGTTTATTCTACTATCATTTTTTTTCTATGTGACATTAGAATGAATATAATGGCTAGTGAAAATAGAGTATTCATTCCATTCTGTGTACATAGCGTGTACTGTTTTATAAATATTCTTTTAAAAATTGTTAGAAAGAGCAAATAATATTTGTGTTTTTTTCTGTATTTTGTATTCACTTTGGTGTGTTTGAAGTTATCCAGACTAAGTTACTGTAGAGGTATAGCCGTTAACTGTTGAGTGCAAACATTTAAAGAAATTGGCAAAAACGTTTTGAGATCGATTTTAGCAACTTTATTAAGCAGGTAACTGTAACTGAAATAAGTAAAATAGGGTTGGGTGTTATTTTATATTTGCACTAAAATATATTTCCTTAATTTTGGTTAAAGTGGTTATTTTATGTAGTTAGTTTTGATATATGTGTTGAGTCAACTTTGGGCCTTTAGAGCTCAGGTGACAATAGCCTCTAGTTTGCTGTTTGCTGGAGGTCCACAGATGGGTTACGGTGTTAAATCTACACTATTTGAGAGTGGTACCCTTTCACGAGCGAAGAAGCGGCGTCTTCGAGAATTCAAGTATTTGGCGTAGGGTCACAAAGCTAATGGAGAACGGAATAGGACTACAAGCTCTAGGAAACTTGTTCTCTTAAATTATATACAGTAGGGCATAGGGATCGTGATTATCTCCTAGGGTTAAGTCTCTGCATGCGAGTGAGTGATCTTATAGTTAGGCAACAATCTTATATCATCTTATGCTCATTCCTTCAGTGATATTTCTCTGAGCTTCCTTTTTTTTTGTATTATACACAATCCATTTGAATCATGGATCTGTATAGTCAAAGTGATTAAAGTTCTTGTTATAATTTGGTGAGAATTAATGATTACAAATTGTGAAGCATGCCAGAGCTTTTCTGCTGTTGGACATAGAGACAGGTATCATCTATAGTACTGAACACATGAAACCTGGAGTTCCTTAGAAACTTCCATACTTTGTATTTTTGCCATGTTCTAAAAATGTGAGTTGAGGGGCGCCTGTGTGGCTCAGATGGTTAAGCGTCTGCCTTCGGCTCAGGTCATGATCCCAGGGTCCTGGGATTGAGTCCCGCATCGGGCTCCCTGCTAGGCGGGGAGTCTCCTTCTCCCTCTGCCTCTGCCTCTCTCTCTCTCTCTCTCTCTCTGACTCTCATGAATAAATAAATAAAAAACATTTGAAAAAAAAAATGTGAGTTGATTTGTACCCTGTCTTTTTCATCTCACAGATCCTCATTTTCTTCCTTTGTTCTCTTTTAATTTTTTAAAAACCAAATGACTTACTTGGGAGCCAGTCTACTTTTGATGGAAGAAGATATAGAAAATATTATAAAATTACTTGACAAATAAAATACTCAAGTCCTAAATTAGCTTTCAAAAAACTTTGAAGTATCCAGTGAACGCTTTCATTTCTGTAGGGCAGAATACAAAGAAAATAGTTTTGAACATAGATGCATTTTGTTTGTATGACAGAAATTGTCTGTCTTTTTTTTAAACCCAAATTCTACTTTGATACGGTAAACGACTTTGCTATTTTCTGCTACTTCAAAGGGACTCTTTTAAAATTGTAACTGCCTATTTTACAATGAGGCATGATTTAGAAAGCTTCTTTAGCTATCAAATCTATTTATAAACACATTGAAGAAAAGGTTATTATTTTTTTAGTTTTTACAAGCAAAATTTGATTCTGTTTTAGGACAGTGGCTTTAAGTAACACCAATTTATCTGTATTAACAGGCTTTTATTGCCTCTTATAATACCAGTAAGGTGAGAAGGCTAGAAGTATATATACTTCAATTCAAGGAAAACTCAGTTTTATTTGTCTTATCAAGGGAATGTAAATTGAAAATCTCAGGATGTGTCGTGTGGCAGACAGGAAAGAGGAAAATGTCTAGATTGTGATTTTGTACTGAAGTCATTTTAATGAACAGAGCAATGACAGATAGAATAATTAGACAGACTCCCTGTTATGAGGACAGCACTGGCCTCCCACTTGGGGCTTTATGGCTACTATGAGAGCAAATGAGAAGGTGTGTTCTCCGCTGTGGGGGGAAGAGGTGACTGAGCATGCTCCACTTGGCTGGCCAGCATTCTGGAGGTTTGTCTGAGGACTTCCTCTGACTTGAGTGTATTGATCTGTCATCAATGTAGTCCTCAACTGAGAATCCTAATTAGAGTGTGACCTTGTAGTCCTTATCTCTAAATGAGGATCTGGACTAGATCAGGCCTTTTCTACCTGTGGCATTATGGGCTCATGTGAACCTCCTCCACCTTCCAGAAGCTAATACTTGAATTTTAAAATGGATTAGTTGTTACTTGGATTTCAAGATAACAAGTAACATATTTACATATTGATATCTATATTATTACAGATAATCAAATATCCATTGGAGATTATTTTCAAACAAGCAAGGATTTGAGCATAGAACCAGAGCTATTCAGTTTAATACTTTTTTGTCTTGTTAAAATAATAATGTGCTAATATAGCAAATTTAAAAAATATAGATAGGTTAGTAGAAATATAAATCACCCATAATCAAGTTTTAAGACACAATGTATTACTATATAAAGAAGTCTTTGTGTTTTCTCAACCATACAGGGTAAGTTATAATACAGCTCTTAGGTTAGGTGCTTTCTAAAATCATATTTTCTAAATCTGTGTATCACTTCCTTGGATTATACTGAGGAAAATCACAACTTTTATTAATGTCTGACCTTTGGTCACACCTTGTGATTTTGCTTTCTTCTAATGAGCCAGGTATTCCGTGGGCCCTTAGAAATCTTTTTTTCCGGGGCGCCTGGGTGGCTCAGTTGGTTAAGCGGCTGCCTTCGGCTCAGGTCATGATCCTGG